CCCTCACTTGGCTTTTCACTCATGTCTCCTATTGCTTGAGCCACACCTCCAGTTCCTAGAATTCTACTCCTCCTTCTCCTTTCTCTTCCTCTTCTTCCTCCTCCTCCTCCTTCTCCTCCTCTTCCTCCTCTTCCTCCTCCTCCTCCTCCTTCTCTGTTTTCTTCTTTCCAGTCCTGGGGCTTGAACTCAGGGCTTGAGCACTGTTCCTGAGGTTTTTTGCCCAAGGCTAGTGCTCTGCCACTTGATCTCCTTTATTGCCTTTTTGGTAATCACATGAGTGTTTCACAGTCTTTCCTGCTTGGGCTGGCTTTGAACCATAATCCAGATCTCTGCTCCCTGAGTAACTAGGATTACAGGCATGAGCCACCAGCACCTGGCTTTACTTTCTAAGTTTTAAGCCTCTTCTGGAGAGTCCTTTCAAAGCCTTTTGTAGGTTGTAGCATTTGCCCAAGTATATTACTTTATATTAATACTTCAAGTTTGGTTGTGATATCATGTAATAAATACTTTGTGCTTGTTTTCTTGGAGTATCTCATAAAAGTCCTACAAATTAGGTTCCATTTTTTATCTCCAAACATCTAGTGCTAGGTCTCATAGCAATTAGCAATGTGAGCATTTGAACCCAAGCCCAGATGACTTCATAGCCTTCCTTTGATTAATTATAGAATCACTCAATCAAAAGTGGAATTAGCGGGCTGGGAATGTGGCTTATAGTGATAGAATGCTTGCCTATATGTATGAGGCCCTGGGTTCGATTCCTCAGAACCTCATAAAACAAAAAGTCATTAAGTAAATTATAATTTTTAAAAAAAAATGGCATTAGCCAACTTGTTCACATCCTAGTATTTTCCACAAGTTCCCTTTTCTTTCAAAGACATCTAACCAAAGCTTCAATTTGCAAGGCAATTTCCAAAGAGGAGATAGTTCCAGAACAGGAAATGTATAGCTACCAGCGTTCTAACTTCGATGAAGGAGATTATCCCTCACTAGATTTGAAGTCTGGACTTCACTAAACAAAACAACCTCAAAGGTTATCATGGTAGCCTTGCTTTGGAGATAGCCTGCTCAGGTTCAGTTTGTCTGTCTAGGATCATCAGAGCCAGGTATAATCTTTTCTGTCTCCCTTCCAGAGGCCTGGCACCATGGACTCTGTATTGTCCAGCAGAGAGGGCCACAGGAGAAGGCCCAGCAGTGTGCTTACATTTCCAAGGTGAGCCCTTTGCTCTGAGGGTTGCTGAGCATAGCTCTCTCTGCCCAAGGGGCAGCATTTCTTAATCCTTACTACATCTCCCTTCCCTTTTCCTCTTCCCTTCTCCCCTTCTCCTTTACTTTTCCCACAAAGCAATTTTGTTAACACACACACACACACACACACACACACGCTTCTTTTGGGTCTACAATATGCTGGGACAAGTTCTTAGCTGACTCTCAGACTTAGCCTCAAAATGAGAGGGAGTACAAAATGAGAGGGAGTACCCACAAAGTCAAATCATTCATTCCCTCAAAGCAAGGGGACTTATTTTAGAACCTGCAAGGTACCTGGCTACCTCCCAGAACTGAGGGTTCAGGTCCAATGCACTGAATAAACAACTTGACTCATTTCTAGGATTGAGCACAAAGACAAAGAGGGCAAACCACCCATGGAGACCATTGTAGAAGGTGAAGAGCAGTACAAAAGGAAGAGCAGGCTGGAAGACCAGCAAGACAAAGAAGGCATCAAAGGTAGGTCAATAGTTTTGGGATGCTTATGAGCCTACTCATATTGTTTAACAGTCCTATGTTCAAAGGGAATCAAGTTAGATTCACAAGTAATCATAGTAATATTTTCTCTAAAAACATTACTTCTGCATCTCCCATCATTTGCCTTAACCACTTTATGAGTCTTAGGTCCTATAACTCCTATGCTTTTAAAACAGTCATCTCTCTGCTGAACACCATGTCCCCCCTCCCCCGCCCCATTGTTAAAGGAATCAAAACTCAGCCAGGCATGGTGGTTCACACCTACCATCCAAGCTATGGGAGGCAAAGACAGGAAGTTCATGATCTAAGGCCAGTTCAGGCAAGAAGTTAGGGAGACACTTCTTTTACCAAACAAGGTTGGCATAGTAGTATACTTTTGTTATTCCCAACCATCTGGGAAGCATAGGTAAGGAGGATTGTTATCAGAGGTTAACCAGGACAAAAATCTTGAGATCCTGTTTTGAGAAATAATGGAAGTAAAAATGGGCTGGGAGAAAGCACTCCAAGGTTGTAGAGCACCCACTTAGCAAGCACAAGGTCTTGAGCTGAAGCCCTTGTTCTTCCTACTTCTCAAATCAGGAGTCAATACTCAGATAGCTATGGGGTCCTATGTAGGTGAGAAACACAAAAAGTAGGCTAGAGCCTACTCTGCCTTCCCAGGACAAATGGCTATTGTTGAAAGGTAAAAGTTCATCTTCAAGCCGGAAGTGGCGCTGTGGCTCAAGTGGTAGAGCGCTAGCCTTGAGCTGAAGAGCTGAGGGACAGCGCTCAGGCCCAGAGTTCAGGCCCCACGACCAGACACCGTCCCCCTCCCCCCAAAAAAAGATAATCTTCAGTTGATATTTACCTTGGTACAAACTGCGTTCATTTATCTGTGTTAAGTACAAACTGATCATTCAGTGGTTTAAAAGTTGCAAACAAAGTTGCTTCTATGTGTTTCTCATTCTAGAGATCTTATCACCCAGGAAACTTCGAGATAGACAAACTGCCTCCCCTACCAAAGTGACAAGTGTCAGCTTGCTGGACAAGTTGGAGCCAAGTGGGAGTGGTGGAATGAATGTGACCCCCGAAAAGTAAAGTGCTGTTGTTCTTTTTGCATGTATTTATTGATGCAGGGAATTTCAGTAATTGTTTATTCCTTTAACCATTTTTACCCAGTAATCAAAGTGTTCCTTAGGATGGTTTTACTTTATCTTTTTAAAAAAATTTTTGGATAATCTCACTTGTGTGAAAGGTGATTGAGAATTAAGTATTGAATCCTAGGCATTTAGTTCAGTCCAACAGACATTGAGCGACACCATGTACCCAGTATGATTCTAGGCACTGAAGATACAGAGTGAAAGATATGAAGTTTGAAGCTAGTTTAGGCAGAAAAAAAATACATTAGATTCTTATCTCCAACTAACCATCAAAAAGCCAGAAGTAGAGATGTGGCTGAAGTGGGACAGCACCAGATTTAGGCCAAAAAAGCCAAGAAAGAGTGAGAGTCCTTGAATTTAAGCTCCAGCACTGGCTCAGACACAAACATAATGCCTTTGATGGACAGAGCCAAAATCAGAGTCTAGCAAGAAGAGGGAGTTAATAATTACTGGGAATTATTTTTTAATTTTGCCATTCTTGGGGCTTGAACTCAGGGCCTGAACACTGTCCGTAAGCTTCTTTTGCTCAAGGCTAGCACTCTACCACTTGAGCCACAGTGCCACTTCTGGCTTTTTCTGTTTATGTGGTACTGAGCAATCAAACCCAGGGCTTCATGCATGCTAGACAAGCACTCTACCACTAAGCCACATTCCCAGCCCTACTGGAAATTATGACAAAGAATTTCCTATAGAGGTTAACAAAAGTATTATCTACCAATTTTAAAATAATTCATTTTAAAATAATTCATGTTCATCATAAGGAACTTTCAAGTAAAACAGACAAACAGATGTTACAAAATAAAATGATCATTCATAGCTCATTATTGGAAGGGAAACTTTCTGCTAACGGGGATATATCTTTTTTTTTTGGTCCAGTCGTGGGGCCTGAACTCTGGGCCTGGATGCTGTCCCTCAGCTCTTCAGCTCAAGGCTAGCACTCTACCACTTGAGCCATAGTGCCACTTCCGGCTTTTTTCTTTTTGCTTATGTGGTGCTGAGGAATGGAACCCAGGGCCTCATGCATGCAAGGCAAGCGTTCTACCACTGAGCTACCTTCCCAGCCCTGGGGGGTATATCTTTTATTTCCATGAACATATATTTATTTATACTTGAAACATGCACACATTTGAAATAAAATTGAGAGCATATTATATGAAACTTGGTTATACCTAACAAACAGAAGATTTAGAGCCTTATAGTTCTAAATTTCCTCAGACATTATTAATGTTGGCATGGCATCCCTGTTAAAGATTAAGCTGTTTGAGCAATCTCCTGTTGGAGATGTTTAGATGGTTTCTAGTTTTTTACATTCTAAATAATGTATGACAAATGTAGTTACTTAACTTCTTTTCCATGTAGCTGAATATTCCAGAGGCTAAAATCCTAAATGCTCTCATTCTTAGCCTCCCACATAGCTTGGGATCAGTCTACTATGCCCAAGTGTGGGTGGAGAAGCAGGGAGTCTCATGAACTGTTCTGCTCAGGCTGATCTCAAACTGCAGTGCTCCCATTTTCAATCTTCCCAAGTAGCTTGGATTACCAGTGTGAGCCACTGGGACCTAGTCAAATTTTTAAATTAACTCATTTTCTTTATTGTTGGTCATGGAGCATGAACTCTGGGCCTGGGCACTGTCCCTTAGTTCTTCAGTTCAAGGCTAGAGCTCTACCACTTGAACCACAGCGCAACTTCCAGCTTTTTCTGCTTATATGGTGCCAATGAATTGAACCCAGGGCCTCATGCATACATGCAAGGCAAGCACTCTACCACTGAGCCACCTTCTTATCCCCAAATTAACTGATTTTCAAATGACTTAATACTAGCATTAGATGGACCATTTACAATTTATTTATTTATTTATTGTGTGTGTGTGTGTGTGTGTGTGTGCCTGTGCCAGTACTGAGGCTTGAATTCAGGGCCTGAGCATTGTCCCTTAGCTTTTTTTGCACTCTACCACTTGAGCTACAGCTCTACTTCCAGCTTTTTGATGGTTACTTGGACATAACTTTACTGCCCTGTCTGCTTTGAACTTTGATCCTCAAATCTCAGCCTCCTGAGTAGCTAAGATTATAAGTTTGTGCCACCGGCATCATTTATTCCTTTCATAGATATTTTATCATCTATATCGTATATATATATACGATATATATGTACTGTATATATTATCACATATACATGTATATATGTGTATATATGTATATAGTATATATGTATATATACATATCATATTTGCATATAATTATTGCATGCTATATAATTTTTTTTGGGGGGTCCGGTCATGGGGCCTGGGCACTGTACCTCAGCTCTTCAGCTCAAGACTAGCGCTCTACCACTTGAGCCACAGCGCCACTTCCGGCTTTTTTCTTTTTGCTTATGTGGTACTGAGGAATAGAACCCAGGGCCTCATGAATGCAAGGCAAGTGCTCTACCACTGAGCCACCTTCCCAGCCCCCATGCTATATACTTTTGTTTCTCTTTAATTTAATTAACTTATTTATTATTATTCTATTAATCCTCTGAATGCTAACGATTGCACTCAAGACTTTGAAAACCTGAGATAAGTACACTACCATTGAGCAACATCACAGCCCCTACAAACCTTTTCTTAATTGTCTGTTCTTACTTCCTCCATTATCCCTGAGAATTTTGAATGTACTTGTTGAAGATTATTTTTCCCCAGTTCTTTATTGTCTTTATTTCCTTAATTTGGTTCTGCAGTACTTTGAATGCATAGCAGTTTGCCTGTGTGTGTGTGTGTGTGTGTGTGTGTGTGTATTGGGACTTGAACTCAGGCCTGGGTGCTATACCTTAGCTTTTTCAGTCAAGACTGGCACTCTACCATTTAAGCCACTGCCCCACATTTGTTTTTTTTTTTTTCAGTGGTTAATTGGACATAAGAGACTCATGGACTTTCCTGCTGTAGCTGGTTTGAAAGATGGTCCTCAGATTTCAGCCTTCTGAGTAGCTAGGATTACAGATGTGAATCACTGGTGCTCAGCAGCAGTTTTTATTTTATTTTTTAACTTGTTTAAATATTTAAAATATTAGTTAAGTTTAAATTAGTATTAGCATTAGTTGTAAAAGGAGTCAGTTTTAAGAATTCATTTTTAAAATCTGGAATAGAGCCATGTGCCAGTGGCTCATGCCTGTAATCCTATTTACTCAGGAGGCTGAGATCTGAGGATCGTGGTTCAAAGCTAGCCCAGGGAGGAAAGTCCATGAGACTCTTATCTCCAATAAACCACTAGAAAACCAGAAGTGGCACTGTGGCTCAAGTGGTAGAGCGCTTGCCTTGAGCTGAAGAGCCCAGAGTTCAAGCCCCATGACCGACAAAAAAAAATCTGGAATACAGAAACTTTTTAACTTAAAAAATTAAAAATATTTTTTATTCTTTTAAAGTAGTTGTACAAAGGAGCTGCCATTCAACAAAGCAGTTTATGAATACAGTGCATCTTGATCAGTGTCACTCCTTTCAACATTCTCACCCACCGCTCCCAACCCAAACCTTCCCTCACTTTTCTTTTTTTTGGGTCCGGTCATAGGACTTGAACTCTGGGCTTGGACGCTGTCCCTCAGCTCTTCAGCTCAAGGCTAGCATTCTACCACTTGAGCCACAGTGCCACTTCCAGCTTTTTTCTTTTTGCTTATGTGGTGCTAAGGAATCGAACCCAGGGCCTCATGCACGCAAGGCAAGCGCTCTACCACTGAGCCACCTTCCCAGCCCGTCACTTTTCTTAATATTATAGGATATATGTTGAATTCTTTTTGCCATTTAACAAAGCAGTTTAATGTATACAATGCATCTGCAAGATTTTCACCCACCTTTGACCTACCCTTTCCCTTAGTTTTCTTTCTTTCTTTTTTTTTTTTTTTTTTTTTTTGGTCGGTTGTGGGGCTTGAACTCTGGGCTTGGGCACTGTCCCTGCGCTCTTCAGCTCAAGGCAAGTGCTCTACCCCTTTGAGCCACAGCACCACTTCCGGTTTTCTAGTGGTTTTATTGGAGATAAGAGTCTCACGGACTTTCCTGCCCGGGCTGGCTTTGAACCTTGATCCTCAGATCTCAGCCTCCTGAGTAAGCTAGGATTACAGGCGTGAGCCACCGGCGCCCAGCTCCTTAGTTTTCTTAATATATACAATAAATTGTTGACATATTCTTCTCCCCATATCCTAATTCATTTAGTGTAGACATTTTTCTTCTGGTATCCTGATTGTCTTGACAGTCAAGTTGTCAGGCTACACTCTGGAGAAAATATTGATATCACTATTTGCATCCTGGCCCTGGGTTGCCTGAGCAATGCTGGCAACTGTATCTACCTGGTGGGTCCCAGGTTTTGCTTTCTGACAGGGTGTGGAGCCTGTGTAAAGTCAGGAGAAAGACAAGATTTGATCAGGTTTACCCTCGAGATGAGGATAGGTCCAAAGGGCAGGAAGTACTGCCCACGTATGCTCCTTGGAATGGAGAGGACAGAAAAGGCCTTGCATCTTGCCTGCAAATTATGCCTCAATGTACATCAAGACTATAGCCACACCTGGCCCAGACACTTTTTTTCCTCTTGAATTATTGGGACAGTCTCCTAATGCTTCTCCTACTCTAACTGTTGTCCATATTTGGTTGATTCCCTCAACAGCATAGCCAAAGTCATCCTGTGTACGTTAGATGATATAATCGATCATTTCAAGCTCTATAATATTTCCCATTGTCACTCGGAGTTAAAGTGGTGCATGATCATGCCTCCTCTGACTTCTACCCTGAACATGGACATAGTCCCACCTTAGAGTTTGCATTCATTTGGTTAGCTGGAAAGCCTCTATTACTATTATTTGTTCTGGCACTGGGCCTTGAACTGAGGACCTTGTGCCCTCACTTGGCTTTTCACTCATGTCTCCTATTGCTTGAGCCACACCTCCAGTTCCTAGAATTCTACTCCTCCTTCTCCTTTCTCTTCCTCTTCTTCCTCCTCCTCCTCCTTTCTTTTGGGTCAATCATAGGGCTTGAACTCTGGGCCTGGGTGCTGTTCCTGAGCTCTTCAGCTCAAGATGAGTGCTCTATCACTTGAGTTACAACACCACTTTTGGTTTTCTGGCAGTGGTTGATTGGAGGTAAGAGTCTCATAGACTTTTCTGCCCAGGCTGGCTTTGAACTGTTATCCTCAGATCTCAGCCTCCCGAATGGCTAGGATTACAGGTATGAGCCACTGGTGCCTGGCTCCTAGGAAGTCTTTTCTCTTGGTAATCTCTATTATTGCTCTCTCCTTGCCTCTTTCTTAGTGAAAGATTTCTGGTCATTCAGTTTGGGACTTACTATTTCTCCAGCATTGGATGGTGTTTATCATCATAGGATAGATGACAACATTCACATATTTATCTTGTTTCTGGCATTTATTTATTTATTGCTGGTCCTGAGGCTTGAACTCAGGGTCTTGTCATTGTCCCTGAGCCTCTTTGTGCTCAAGGCTAGCGCTCAACTACTTGAGCCACTTCTGGCTTTTTCTGAATTTTTTGGAGTCTCACAAACTTTCCTGCCTGGGTTGGCATCAAACCGCAATTCTCAGATCTCAGCCTCCCAAGTAGCCAGTGGTTTTCTTATTTATCTTCATCAGAATGTTAATTCTATGACAGATGTGTATGTGTGTGTGTGTGTGTGTGTGTGTGTTCATGTATTTTATTTGCACTGAATTTCCTGTGTCTAGAAAAGCACCTTCATATATTTTTTGTGAGATGAATAAATTTTATCTTTTTTTTTTTTGGGTCCGATCGTGGAGCCTGAACTCTGGGCCTGGGTGCTGTCCCTCAGCTCTTCAGCTCAAGGCTAGTGCTCTATCACTTGAGCCACAGCGCCACTTCTGGCTTTTTTCTTTTTGCTTATGTGGTGCTGAGGAATCGAACCCAGGGCCTCAGGCATGCAAGGCAAGCGCTCTATCACTGAGCCACCTTCCCAGCCCCAGTAAAATTTATCTTTATCTCTCAAATTGGTAACAGAATTTCTAAGTTTCCATAGCTAATCCATTGTCAGTAAGCTTATAAATTGAGATTCAAAGTCAGCATTTTTATGACACAAAGTGCAGATTTCTTTTTGTCGGTCATGGGGCTTGAATTCTGGGCCTAGGTGCTGTCCCTCAAATTCTTTTTTAAAAAAATTATTGATTTTATTTTTTGATTTGTGGTACCAAGGAATTGAACCCAGGGCCTCATGCAGGCCAGGCAAGAACTCTACCACTAAGCCACATTCCCAGCCAAAGTACAGATTCTTAACCTTGAGACAAAGCTTTTGAAGAAACCCACTGATACACTGTGCTGTGTGTGCTGCTCATCCTTATGTCTAACATCTCCATTGCTCCTCAGGGCAGAGTGCACTAAAAATTATTCAGTGTCTCATTGTTCTTACAGAGTATTGTCTCCAGTTAGTCTGAAAAATGACAGTATGAAACTCAGAACATCTCCAGTCTCAGCTTGCCAAGATCATAAAAAAGCAGGACAGGTAGAGTGTATTCAAATAAATCCCACTCTGAATCTTTCCCTCACTTCTTTTTCTCAAGGGGAGTTCTGGGAATTGTTCTTTCTTCATTATAATTTATGGTTGAAGCTCACGAGCTATAATGATCCAACATGTGATAAATCTATCTATTAGTCAAGATTTACTAACAGAAATAGTGGGGGGAGGGAACCTTATAATTTCCCAGTTGCCATTTTCAATTTTAGTGAGAATTCAGTAATTATTTATTATTATTTTTTGAATTGTGAGACTCACTACAATCTCATCTTGCTAATTGTCACTAGTATATACTTTTTTCCCCTCACTTTAAAAATTAACTTCCATTAATTATACAGGGAGGGAGGATGTCATTGTTGTATTTCCAGGCATGTTTATAATGTATTCTAATAATCTCACTCAGTCGGGTGCTGTCCTTAAGCACCTTTTGCTCAAGGCTAGCTAGCACTCTGCCACTTGAGCTACAGCTCCACTTCTGGCTTAAGTCTCAGACTTTTTTGCCCAGGTTGGCTTCAAACTGTGATCCTCAGTTCTCAGCCTCCTGAGTTGCTAGGATTACAGGCATGAACCACTGGTGAGTGGCTGAATAAGTACTGGGCCTAGGTGCTGTCCTTCAGCTCTTCAGCTCAAGGCTAGTGCTCTACCACTTGAGCAACAGGGCCACTTCCTGTTTTTTCATGGACTTCCTGCCTGGGCTGGCTTTGATCTGCTATCCTTAGATCTCAGCTTCCTGAATAGCTAGGATTACAAGTTGAATATGTGCTTTTATAAAGTATGTTTCTTCACATACTCAATCCTTGGAGAATTTGGGGAGGGAATGTAAAGGCAAAGAAGCCAGATGCTAATGGTTCTGCCTGTAATCCTAAATCCTCAGAAGATTAAGATCTGAGGATCTCACTTCTAAGCCAGCGTAGGCAGACAAGTTCAAAAAACACTTTTCTCCAATTAACCAGTAAAAAACCAACAGTGGAGATGTGACTCAAGTGGTAAAGTGCCAGCCTTGAGCAAAAAAAGTGAAGCCCTGAGTTTAAGCCCCAGAACCTACACACATTTAAAAAAAATGCAAAGTAAGAAATAAATTTGTCCTCAAATTTGGGATTGTAGGAAATGTGCTATGTATGTTTGCAACGAGCACAGCGGAATTTCCCTTTGTACTTTGGTGAGGAGAAGAGGAGGAGAGAGCTAGAAGATGAGCAACTCATGCAGCAGTACCAGGCGCTGAAAGACCAGGAGGCTTTCTACCAGTGCCAGGTATTGCATCACCATCACTTTATATGGGATAGTAGATCCTGGTGATTGAACTCCATCAGTGCATTCCTGGGTGCTAGCCCTGCAACATAGCTGATCTGTTTTGTAACTGTGAGACTTTTCATTAGTAACCAACAATTTGGGGGTGAATATCTGTGTAGATGAGTGTTGACCAGCATTTTTCCCTTCAGTTAGACTGAATCTTAAAGATTGACTTGCTGGGTTATTTCTTTATTTTTGATTTATGGAAAGTTGTAAGCTCAGAGTTTTACTTTTCAAGTCTGGGTGGTGGCTCATGCTTATTATCCCAGCTATTTGGGAGGTCAATTGGGAGGACTGCCGTTGGAGACTAGCCTATGCAAAAAAAGTTAGCAAGACCCCATCTCAACAAATGATCTGGGTATGGTGATATGTGTCTGTGGTCCCAGCTATATGGGAAACAATCATAGCTCTGAAAGGTGCTACAGGAATAATAACTAAGGCTGGGTGTGTGGCTTAAACTGTAGATCTTTTGCTTTACAGGTTCAAAGTCCAGAGTTAAAATGGCAGATGGGCTGAGGGTAGCTGTTCAGAGGCATGTTTCTGCCCCATTCTCTACCAAGTGATTTCTTGGGCTTTATGTGGCCTGTGGGCTTGATGTTTTCCCCACTGAAGCCCTATCTCAAGCAAGAAAGGACAGAATGACACTCTTATATTTGCTCTATCCAGATTCCCATGGTCTCCAGTCTGACATTACTGCCCTTCCCTGTGTTTGTGATAAACCCTTTCATTTCTGCTTAAGTTCTTTGTTATGGTAGTGTCTGAAGTCCAAGAATAGGAAATACGAACCTCTCCTAGTCAACTTCTATAAATCTATAAAGACATCAGAAAATACCATTACCTCCAAATGGGTTACCATGTTGGCACAACTATATTAATGTCATAGAGTGAAAAAATTAAAACATTCAATTTCAATATGTAATTTAAAATTTAAAAAATTCTTTTGCAACAGATGAAAAGTCTGGCTGCTAGAGAACAGAATCAGAAAAATGCTGCCTATAATCTTGGAGTTGCTGAAGCTATAAGAAATCACAAGAATGAGAAACCTGAATTTTATGTAAGAATTCCTTTATATTTTCTCTTGCTCACGGTTGTCCCACCTAGGAAAGTTTGGATCTGCTCACTGTGTCCCAAGTCATGGCATTTTATTTCTTTAGCATTTTTATTAGTTTACATGAATTATTCAGAGGGAGATTCAGGATGACATTTTCAAATGTGTATAATATGTTCTAATCAATTGAACCTCCTGATGGAGGCGCACCATCCTTTCCCTCTTCCTTAAAACAACTTAAAGAGATTTCAGTTCTGTTTTTATTGTTGCAAACAACATTTTGACTGTATTCATCCTCTTTCAAGAGTATTGCAAAATTATTTATTGTATTTTTCTTGTTTACTCATCCTTTTCTTATTTGTCTCTAATTAGTTTCTGAATTAATTTATAATCTGTGTTTATCTACTTAGATTGTGTGTGTGTATGTGTGTGTGTGTGTGTGTGTGTCTGTGCATGCGTGTGTGCACATGCACCATTCCTGGGGCTTGAACTCAGCCTGGGTGCAGTCCCTGCAGTCCCTGAGCTTTTTGTTCAAGGCTGATGCTCTACCACTTGAACCATAGTCCCACTTCTGGTTTTGTTTTTTTTTTTTTGGTGGTTAATTGGAGATAAAAGTCTCATGGACTTTCATGCTTGGGTAGCTTCAAATTGAGATGTTTAGATCTCAGCTTCTTGAGTAGGTAGGATTACAGGTGTAAGCCACTGGCACATGGCAGGTTGTGTGATTTTTTTTTTTAAGTGGCAGAGTTGGAAAGGGGACTGGCAAAAGTTTTTTCCAGGGCAGGGGCTGTTGTGTCTACCTGTACACCATCAAAACTCACAACCTAGTTCCTAGTATTAGTCATGACAGCGCTTGCTAATAATAGACATTGTCAGCCAGGTCCTAGGATAGGACAGTATACCGAAGTCCAGTCCTAGGATCTAAAGGGAGAACCTGTAGCATCACCATCACTGATTTGTACTGGAATCACAAAACGTCTGGGGCCTTACCCTGGACTTGCAGAGTGGGTAATCTACATCACAATAAAATCCCAAAGGATATGTATGTGCATTATAGTTGAAGAAGCTCAGCTTCAGCTGGAGGTAAGCCACCGCCTTCACAGCTTGGTTTATAATGTTTGTAGTCATTATGGCCTACTTTTATTTCTACCTGATGATTTATCCTTTTACACTACTATTTAGGCAGTCTTATAGTCTTCTTATAAATAAAATATTTTCTTTATTCCTCATGGGATGTATACTGAGTTCTTATGGCCACTGTGCTAGCAGCCAGAAAAACAAATTTCCTTTTCTAAAGAGATCTCAGTCTAGTTGGGAAGACAGACTCTCAAAAAGCTAAGGGTTTTTATAAACTGACTGCTATGATAAATCTTTTAAAAGGGCTCTACATGAGCAAGTAAGAGAGGCACTTAACCCAGAGAGGAGATTGGAAGACTTTCCTGACATATAAGAGTTAGGTAGCTGGGTGCTGGTGGCTCACACCTGTTATTCCAAGCTACTCAGGAAACTTGAGTTGTTAAGAGACATCTCAGACAGAAAAGCCCACGGGACTCTTGTTTCCCACTCACCAGCAAAAAGCCAGGCTGGAGGCATGGATCAAGTGTAGAGTGTCAATCTTGAGTAGAAAAATCAAGTGGAAGTATGAGTATGAGGCCTTGAGTTCAAGCCCCAGTATGGGCAAAAAAAAGAAAAAGAGCCAAAGAGACATTATCAGCAAGCCATTGTACAAACCCATGTTCAGGAGTGATTTCCTGTTCCTTTTTCTCTGTCCTTCGTATCCAACCACTTACCCGTTTACTTGCTTTGACCTCTAAAATATGCTCCAATATCTCTTCAAACCTCCTTATCACTAATATTAGCATGCTGTAGTGTGCTACATTCTACACTGAATATCTGCCACACTCCCTGGTTAGCTTCTCCTACAATCTATGTTGATTAATAAAAACTGTTACCCCAAACATACCACCATCCTGTTTTTCTAATAGTGTTCGCATTGAATTTGAATGAAATTTAAACTTGCTTGCTCTATTAGACCCTGCACCATTGTCCTCTACCTTTCTTTGAGCTCCTTAACTTCCACTTCTTGCTCATTTTGCCTTGATTTTAAAGCCCATCCTCTGCTCACTGACCAGGCTTGTTTCATTTACTGTCTTGGTTCCTTTTGGAAGGGACACAGGATCCCCTGGTGTTTTAAGTGTGTGTGTGTGTGTGTGCACACGTGCTCACACATGTTATGTGTATGGTATGATTCATCCCTCTCCAGAAAAAAGTTTTCCCTAACAACCAGGCAACGTAGTGCTATTCCCACACTGTTACTTGCTGTGGTAAGAGTTCCATTATAACCCTAAGTGATTTGATTACCTTTCTCTTCCTGACCAGAATGTAGGCTAGATGAGAGTGAAGATCTCTGCCCTTAACAGGATTGGATCTCCAGTGTCTAGAAAAGCAGACCCATAGTAGATGTTCAAGTCTTCCTCCCCTCCCCTCTGCTGTGTCCTTGTTCATGCTGTTGCACAAACTCAGAATTCTGCATACATTCATGCAATTACAACACGCAGCTCCATTACATGCTGTCAGTGCTACTTCAGGACCAACTCTGTGGGCTCTTTTTTCCTTCTGTCTCAGCAATGCAGTGTGAGCTCAGCTTTGCCCTGAAACATGCTTATGTTGATCCTTTTATCTTTACACTAGCTGGTCAACATGTTGAGGGATGGGAAAAATGTTAGAAATTAAGAAATATTTTCCAGCCAGGTACAGTTGGTTCACATCTGTAATCTTGGAAACTGAGATGTGAGAATTGAGGTTTGAAGCTCATTTGGGCAGGAAATTCCATGAAACCCTCATCTCCAGTTAACTATAAAAAAGCTGAAAGCAGAGCTGTGGCTCAAGTGGTAGATCACTAGCCTTGAACAAAAATGCTCAGGAACAGCACCTAGGCCAGGAGTTCAAGTTCCAAGACTGGCACAAAAATAAAAACAACCACAACAATAATAAAAGTATTTTCTGCCCAAGTTTGGTCTGATTCATTTATTTGTTTGTTTGTATAAGCAATGAATTGCTTTTCTTTCATTCTAGAAATCCTTCCTATTTGATAAACGGCCCCTTAGTTCTGAGATTAATGCTATTAGGCAAGAAGAATATTCCCAAGCTCTCCTGAAACAAATGGAAAAAAGACGGGAAAAGGAAATAAAACAAAGACAAAACAGAGAGGTGATGGACCGCCTAGAACAAGTTCAACTCACAGAGGAGTAAGTCCAGTCAGATATGCTCTGAAAAATGGGTTTTGTGTGAAAATAATTTCTCCAAGGTAGTCTCAATAGTTTCATTAGCACTACTGTAACCAACTGAGCAAACTAACTATAGTTAGCAGGCTTTTCATTAGAACAATGTTATACAATATCATTTGTATTATATACTGGTTCCCTTCCCTTTCCTTCCCTTCCCTTCCCTTCCCTTCCCTTCCCTTCCCTTCCCTTCCCTTCCCTTCCCTTCCCTCCCTTTCCCTCCCTTTCCCTCCCTTTCCCTCCCTTTCCCTCCCCTCCCCTCCCCTCCTTCTTGTATTGATACTGGGGTTTAAACTCAGAGCCTCTCAGTCTTACTTGTTTTTTTCAATCAGTGCTAATGCCCTACCACTTGAGCTGTGCCTTCACTTCTGGCTTTTTGCTGGTTAATTGGAGATAACAGTCTCATGGGCTTTTTTTTTTTTTTTTTTAATTTAGGCTGGCTTTGAAGCAAGATCCTACAATATCAGCTTCCTGAGTAGCTAGGATTACAGTACAGGTGTGAGCCACTGACATCTGACTTACCACACTCACATTTCTATTAATACTTACTGAACATCTTTTGACTGTTACTTTGCATTATTAAGGACTCAGTAACTCTCTCATACACTTTCTCTTGTTCTTAAATGCCAGACTTGCTAAACAAAGAGCCAAATATTTAAAAGACAAGATGGAAGAAACACAGTGCTACAAGAGAGCTTTGGATGCACAGGTAAGGGGACAATTTTTTTAAAATTTACTTTATTGTTTTAGAGGTGATACAGCAGGGTTACCTTTATGTATGTCAGGTAATAAGTATCTTTCCTTTTGCATAGTATCATCTGTTCCCTCATTGTCTTCCATTCCCTCCCTCCCATCTCCACAACATGAATTGCATAGTTCACTTTCATCAATGTCCATTGTGCTACACTGCTGCACTCTTCACCCTTTATCCCCTGATTCTGTGCCCTTCCCCCCTCCCACAGATGTGCACATGAATATGCCATATATAAGGTAAAGAATACAGAGTCATTAAAAACAAATTAAGAAAAGGTCCTTCATTTCCATATCTTTGGAGTACGCTTCAGTATGAATATCATTTTATATACACATGAAGAGGCACTTGTGATTTTCTTCTAAGACTATCTTCTTTTGGTCTCACTGTATGTGAGTGTCTAGAATACTATATAAAATCATGTAGTACTTCACTAATATTCTGTTAGTATAAATCCCAGGATGCTGTCCATATTTGAGTACGTCATGCATCTAGTAAGTTTTTTTTTAATTTTAATTTTTTTGAACATACTGTACAGAGGGGTTACAATTACATGGGCAAGATAATGAATACATTTCTTATCAAGCATTGCAGCTTCCTCCTTTGTTTACCCTTCACATCCCTTCCCAGCTTCCCCCCCCCCCCCCGCATCTAGTAAGTTTTGAGCACTTTATTCTTTTTTTTTTGGTTGGTCATGGGGCCTGAACTCTGGGCTTGGGCGCTGCCCCTCAGCTCTTCACCTTAAGACTAGTGCTCTACCATTGAGCCACAGCAACACTTTCAGCTTTTTCTGCTTATGTGGTGCTGAGGAATCGAACCCAGGGCCTCATGCATGCAAGGCAAGCACTCTACCACTGAGCCACCTTCCCAGCCCTGCACTTTATTCTTTTCTGTAAGATATGGATACCTTGTTATAGAGTTGAGTATAAAGTTTATTCCCTGAAAGAATTATAATATGCCTTGTGTGTGTTCTTGTTCCAGGTAAAAAACAAACCCTCCCAGTTGCCTATGTTTGAGCCAGACTCCTTTGAGCCCATTTTTGGTAAGGAAGACATTGACCACCTTATAGAAAGGCGAATGAAAGAACAGAACTGCATGAAGCACCAGCTGGAAGCAGCTTCTATACACAAGAAGAACATCATCCTGAACCAGCTGATGGAGCAGAGGCGGGATCTGGAGATGCTTCAGAGGACACACAGAGAGTAAGGACACACTTGATTCCCCCAATCCATCCCTTCTCTTCTTCTTTTAATCTCTCTGTCACTCTCTGACTTTACCCTCTCCTTTTCCTTGTTTTTCTCTATGTCAGAGAAGAATAATAGCTAAGATACAGAGGCATTACTGCTGCAAGACATTATTCGAAGCACATTACATGCTTAATCTAGTTTTATCCTATGAAGAAAAACTCACTAGATGAATAACAAAAACACCCTCACCATCTCACTTTTTGTCTCCCCACGTTCTTTTTCCTTTTCTTTACAGAACATTGAACTCCACTGGTCTTTGGACATGGTAGACAAACACTCTACTACTGAGTTACATGCCCAATCAATGCAACTTCTTACAATAGATGGCCACAATAGCACTATCCATTGGAACTACCATATGAACCACAAATGTAGTGACATGCTCAAATAGACCCGGACATGATACTTGGGCCATCTCTCAACATCCACTAACCTTCTCATCCATTTGAGAAGGTGATAGAGAAGGGGTGAGGCTGGCAGAGGAGGACTTCATATCATACACGTATCTTTAAACTTAAACCTCCAACATCATCTAGTTTATTAAAATGCCCAATAAGTCATTCTACCAGTGGGGAATTTTTAAGGATCCTGACTGGCTCTCAGTCTTGCATCATCTCCAAGATTCCTACCTAGCTTTTTCATCATCCCTTTCTACTCCTCACCAACTCTACCTCTGATTGCCACTCCAGTTTCTTCTCTGTAGATGTTGAGCAATTCTCAAATATTTGATGAGCCAAAATTATCAAGGTGTTCAGGATTCCTAAAGAGACTTCTGTACAAAGGAATCCACTCTTCTTGAACACAGTTGTATTTGTAAAATAGAAAATCCCAATTTTAAAATTAAAATTTAAAAATTTTGTAAGATAGTGCATAGATTTGTTATGTTCTATACCAATTAGGTCCAGAAGACTAGATAATGGCAGACATGATGAATAGGGTGGAGTTTGGTTGTTGGTAGAGGGGAATGGAAGTGGTTAAAACAAGACTTCAATTCTGGTTAAAAACAAAATACTTCATTCTATAGAATAGAGTGTTGTATGTGCCTAAGATGTATAAACTTGTGTGTCTATGTAGTTACTAAAATACTAAAATGTTTTCATACTCATTGATAGGTAACTATTATCCTTCAATCCCCCAAGTTCTTCTCGGTGCTTGTACTGCCCTCCCTGTACTCTGTTCCATCTCTCTACCAACTTTTACCTAAAGGGTGAATAACCTGAGATCTTCAGACCACTTCCAGGATCTATTCTGAATGGTGGGTCAGTTTCTGCCACTCTACTGATTGTGGTGTATCAGCTAGGTTATGTGACTTTAGGGCATTGGTTTCCTTAGTAATTAGGGCTAATAAAGCCTCTCTCAGCATCTTGGCTGACTCAGAGTAAATGTTTGGTAAAGAGAAGTGATTACTATTATAAGGAGAGGAAACTGAAAGAAAAGCTGTGCTGAATTTAAAATGGCAGCATAATTCTCCATTTGTTTCTAGATTATACATTGTTATAATAATTCTTAATTAAAGTAGCATAAATTGGTGAGATTATTCTTGCTTGAGATTATCTTTATAGCTGACATCCCACAGATAATTATTGCCCATTTTATTGATTTAGGATACAAAGCACAGTGATTCTGAATGTTTTTTTCTAGTGCAAGAAAGAGAAAGAAAGCTTTTACTAAAGGGAAGAAAAAAAAGATGACTGTGAAAACAGCTCCAGTAGATTCTCTGCTCATGGAGAGTGATGACAGGGTAGTGTGGTCATTGAGAGTCAAAGCTAGGCAAAGTATATTGTGTTATACATTCACTTTATGCCCATGACTTTGACTTGATTTCCTGTGCTTTGATTCTGAGAATCTGTAGAATTTGCTCCAGTTTTCTGCCTGAGCATGCTATTTTATTTATTTTGAAATCACAAGGTAAATAGTTTCCAGATTAAAAGATTATAATCTAATAATCCTGAAAGGCTGTGTAGGTATTTTGGTGCTGGGGAAGAGAGATGGTTGCAGCCTAAGAAGATTTGTGAAGGCAAAAACATGTCTGAGGGAAAGCATAGCTTTCCTACTGAGAATAAAAATAAAACGTGAATGAAATTTAAAATATTAATAATAAAGTGAATAACAAAACAGAACAAAAGAAAACAACTTTATTGAAATATTATTGACATACAATAAACTACATGCACTGAAAGTATGTATCCATTCATGAAATGTGTACCCTAATTGAGATAATACACATTACCATCACCCCAAAAGTGTCCTTGTCCTGCTTTGCAATTCTGCCTCTTACCCTTTCCCAGATCTCATCTCATTACAGGTTAATTTGCATTTCCCAGGTGGAACCATGTATATGTTCTTTTTTTTTTTGGTCGGTCGTGGGGCTTGAACTCTGGGCCTGGGCGCTGTCCCTCAGCTCTTCAGCTCAAGGCGAGCACTCTACCACTTGAGCTACAGCGCCACTTCCAGTTTTCTGGTGGTTTATTGGAGATAGGAGTTTCACGGTCTCTCCTGTCTGGGCTGGCTTTGAACCGCGATCCTCAGATCTCAGCCTCCTGTGTAGCTAGGATTACAGGCGTGAGCCACCAGCGCCCGGCTTCATGTATATGTTCTTTATTTTGTCTGGTTTCTTTCAGTCACAAAGTGTTGTATCAAAATAATGACTGAATATTTTTCTATTTTTTTAGGTGTTGGGTAATAATCCATTACATAGGTACCACAATTGTTTATTCCTTCATCTGTTAATGGACAGATTTGGTTTTGGCTATTAAAATAAAACTACTCTTTATTTATTTATTTTTTGTCAGTCCTGGGGCTTGAACTCTGGGCTTAGGTGCTGTCCCTGTGTTCTTCAGCTCAAGGCAAGCACTTTACCACTTGAGCCACAGTGCCACTTCTGGTTTTCTGGAGATGAGTCTCATGGACTTTCCTGCCTGGACAGGCTTTGAGCCACGGTCCTCAGATCTTAGCCTCCTGAGTAGCTAGGATTACAGGCAAGAGCCACTGGCACCCAGCTACTCTATATTTGTAGTAACGACTGGGTGTAATGCTTTGATGTATACATAGTTCTTCTTGAGTAAATGTCCAAGAATGACATAGCTGGGATAGGGTAAGATATATGTTTGACTTTTAGCTATTCTAAAAGGTGTATAGTGATGTTTTATGCTTTAATTTACATCTAATTTAAATTAGATTTACATTCAGTTTCTCTAATGGCTTACAATGGTGAACATCACCTTAAATGTGATATTTGCTCTTTGCGTATCTTCTTAGGGTTGCCTGAAGCATCTGTTCAAATCTTTGGCTGGGGATGGATCCCAGGGCCTCCCTGTGAATACTAAGCTCATTTTACCATGTAGAGCCTTATCTCCAAACCCGATCATTAAAAACAAAAATTGATTTGTTTACTTAATGTTGAGTTTTGAAAGCCTGGAGAATGAAGATATCTTTATCAGTGAATTTTTAAAACTTGCATTCTTTGTAAAACATTTGTCTCCTTTTCACCTTCTTTTTATAGCAGTTAGATAGCTACCACTTGTCTCTTTGTGGCTTTGTCTTCCCCAGCCTGACCTGAGACCCTTTGCGGTTGTTACTAAGATCATTGCAACTTCTTCCTCTACTTCTAATTGCTAGAAATTTGATCTCCAAGACTTGGAGTTAGGAGGGTTAAATTTTCTCACTTCCACACTGTATATCCTGAGCCAAATCACATATCGGGTGTCAGAGGTATCTTCCTTATAGGAGAATGAAGACAATCACACTTGCCTCATTTGTTTTTGCAGTGAGAATGAAATGAGATTATGTGTACAAGAGCATATATAAACTGTATTGAGCAAGACCATACCTGTGATCTAAGTGCTCTCTCATTGGTTGTAGATCCTTGTTTCTGAATAGGACAGATCCTTGTTTTTCATTTCTGTCCCTTAATGGATATAAATTACCCTATAAGATCTATAGTATTCTCTACAATGTAGTCTATAGAAGATTTTGTTACTTTTTTCCAACTCCTTGGCCTTTCTCTGTTCCATCTCAAGATATGCTTTGTGACAAATGAAGGCCACTCCTTTCAGACAGAATAATTTAGTCAGTGTGATCCAAACAAACCTATCAACTGTTTATACTTGCCTTAATTCTCTCTGTCTCTGTCTCTCTCTCTCTCTCTTTTTTCTCTCCCTCTTCCCTCCCACTCTCTTATTTTTCTTGTTTAAACATTAGATTAAAATAAGTCACACACACAGAGCTAAAAAGCTAGGTGCTGGTAGCTCATGCCTGTAATCCTAGCTACTCAAGAGGCTGAGATCTGAGGATCAAGGTTCAGAGCCAGCCCAGGCAGGAAAGGCTATGAGATTCTTATCTCCGATTAACCACCAGAAAACTGGAAGTGGCGTTGTGGCTCAAGTGGTAGGGCAGTAGCCTTGAGCTAAAGAGCTGAGAGACAGTGCCAGGCCCAGAGTTCAAGCCCCTGACTGATAAAAAAAAAAAACCCAAAACATAAAAAAAACAAAATAAAAAAAAAAGATCACTTGGTACCTACCGAGCACCAGTGGCTCACACCTGTAACCCTAGCTATTCAGGAGGCTGAGATCTGAGGATCACGGTTTGAAGACATCTTGGGCAGAGAAGTGCCCATGAGATTCTTTTTTTTTCTTGAACTAGAAGTAATTTATTTATATTCAAAATTTCATAAAGTAAATCAGGCAGTTAACAAAATGCAAGCATTAACATACAAGTCACCAGCAGAAAAATATTAGCCAGAAACCATTCCCTTTATCGCTGTTTTCATCTTCTTCTGTCCATAGATTGTGCATAGATCCCATTCATAATCATGTAAACCATCGGGGCTGGAAAGGTGGCTCAGTGGTAGAGTGCTTGCCTTGCATGCATGAGGCCCTGCATTCGATTCCACAGCACCACATACGCAGAAAAATCTGGAAGTGGTGCTGTGGCTCAAGTGGTAGAGCATTATCCTT